TTAAATTTTGTTGCGATTTCACCTCGTTGGTTGTTTTGTAGGTTCGTATTTGGCGAATATGCAAGTGAGGTATGAAATTTAGTTGCCGCGTATTCCAATTTAATTATTTTCGCACGCTTTTTTATTAATAAGTGTTCGATGGAGGGTAAATGGGGTAGTGATATATGCTAGTGACCGTCCTGGAGTGAAAGAACGCTACAGCACAATCACGACATTTACCCACCTATGAATGCTCCCACTCTAGTATGCAGCCAAACTCTTGCTAGTTTTTCTTGTTTCTTTGCATTTCCATAACTTTTTGATTCCAGCCTCTCCATCTCCTGTATGCAGGCGCCTACATCACATGCGAGATCGGTAAGTGCTAATACCTAAGTTATATGTACAAATGTACATTCATCTATACATACGTAGTTAAATGCACCCTTGGTTAGGCACGGGCATATGTGTTAAACACATGAGAGCAAGAGATAGTTTGGAATATTACATACGGTGCGGGCATAGTAAATAGAGAAATTGAAATATATATATTATATTTACATATGTACTCGTGTACACATGTACATATTCTTACACTTTTTCTTTGAAGGTCGATTTCGTTTTGTATCTTTGAAATATTTCTATATCCCGAATTTCATTATTCACCGCAAACACGCCAAACTCCATAAATACTAGGTAGATAAATACGTAGTAAAGGTCTGCATCGGAATTCAGTTTACTTCACTGTGAAGTTTTTTTCAAATATGTAAACTACTCATACTTTAACAAAGAGGGCATGGAAGGAAGAGAAGTGAAAATTTTGAGCACTGTATACATGAAAAAAGTACTCAAACAAAATATGTTCCGAAAAAAAGAAAAACATAAACAAGCAGTACTATGGTGTTAAACTTCCACAAAAAATATGTTCCCTCACAAGTATTTTTTGAGTATTTTTGGAAGTTTTCGTTTAATAAATACTACATAATGTTAACAGACATGGAAAAAACAATGTAGGGAATTATCAAGGCTAATACCCAGCTAGCCCAATGCCGAGCGAGAGACAAAAGGGACTCCCACAGCAACACCTCGAAGGAGCGTTTTAAAATATGGGATGAATAAGCATTCCATATGGGTTATCTGCGGATGACCTGTTAAAGAAGAAACGTTATTTTTTACCAAACTGCTTCACCGATCATAACCAAATTGCGATGTACATATCAGATATAATTTTAAAAGATCTGCAGTTCTCAATTGCCCACTGTGTTACAACGCGTACACATTTTTTTGGACTTGTTATCTACTACTACTACTAGAAATGAGATAGCATTTGTGCTTCAACAAATTTGACGTGCTTTTGTCGTTGAGTTTTAGAACGCTGTTACACCTTTTGCATGCCACAATATTGTCGATTTCTTGTCCGTCTTCATTTTGAATTCCTGCGTAAAACTCCCACACCCTGCTTCTACCTTGCCTTTGTACCAATTTATATTCTCCGTTTGAAATTTTTGTTTTAATTTGCGCATTGGTGGGATTTTGGATGGTTGGCTTTCAGTTTCCATTGCTGATGCTAAATTTAATGGTGATAGCTCAAGAATGATAGAATACAAGATTGCGCCGATCAGAGAGGATTTTTGAGAATAACTTTTGTGTGACGTCACACTGGTGCAATTGCGAGAGAGAAATGCCAAAACGTGAGCAAGAATGGAAGAAGAAGAAAAAATGTTGCAAGGAAAATGTAAACAAGTTGCACCAGTGTGACGTCATGCAAACAACGATTCTGTCAAATTCGTTAAGAGAGGAATAGCGGTCCGAGATCGGCGCAACCTTTGTATTCTCTCAATCGTGGTGATAGCTTAATAACACAGGTTTAGAAAAAAAGTGTATGCATATTAAACCAAACCTATATATATCTCTATGTTATTTGACACGCTGAATGCGAATCCGAAAGCCGTTAGCCCCCACCTCGTCAATTTGTGGTCAGTTGAAGGCCAAGTAGGGAAAAATTCATTGAATAAACCTGGAAGTTCAATAAATTCATATAGATGACCTTGAGGAATCAAGGGACCCCCATATTCGGATTCAGCGACAACTAAAACAAAAAAAAAACATTATTTTAATTGAATAAATTTTTTGTCCTATTTGACCCTCAACTGACCTCGAACCTGACACTATGGAGGTTAACGGACCTCTGATTCGGGTTCTAAAACCCCACATATATGAATTTTCAGGTTTATTCAATGCATTTTTCCCTGCTTGACGTTCAACTGACCACGAACCTGACGTGATAGAGGCTAACGGACCTCGGATTCGCATTCAGACTGTCGAATAACATAGGGATATATAGGTTTGGTTTAATATGCATACACTTTTTTTTTGTAAACCTGTGTAATTTTTATCAATATTTGTTTATAATTAAAACATGTTTCTTTTATATTTTACTAACTTCTTTAAGATAAATTTTCTGCGGATCACACGAACGAGAGTTCAAATAATACACAATGTAAAATGTTAGCTAAACCCTAATTGCGCGAAACAATAAAATAAGCCCCCTTTCTTCAACGAATCAAATTCGACAATGAAAATAAAATTTATGAATTTTCTTAACATTATGTTAAATAATAACATTTTGAAAGAAAAAACTTCATAAGTATTCGTATACTTCCTATGAAGTTTTCAAATACTGCTGAATTCAATCAACATATTCAAGTCTTTTGGAAAAGCGAAACAGTGTTTTATGTAGCAGAGAACTGTTGAGTAACATTGCTCAGTTATTCAAATTTATGATTTTCTCTTTTTTTCTTCCTATCTTTTTTAGTACTCTAAAATTCATGTTCCATTTACTCATGTACACATGTGAAGAGTATTTCTGCTGGTATATTTGCAGACCTTTAATACGTAGATATATAGATAGAAGTGAATTATTGAGTTTTTTTTGGATAGCCTGAATTTTCATCATTTGTAGTAGTATATAAACACTGAGCATAATTGAATATAACGTTTTTATAAGAAGCTCTGTATATTGAATTCTTACTAAGGAAATATATGAAGAATGTGATTAGGATTCAACGAAAAATCATGGTTTGCTGATTTTTTTATATTGGTGTGGGTGTTGCACTGGTGCAAAAGGGGGAAAATGGGTATCGACACTGATTGACGTTACTGACTTGGACATGACTTGTCAATAGACGTACGAACTAAGGTCAGGTTTAGGGGACTTTGCCAATTGTAGGAGTCACGGCGAAGTCCAAGGCCACAAGATCGTAGATGGGGTGGGCTGACTCCACCTGACTCGGACGGGCCTCTTCTATCTCGTTTATATTTCTACTCTCCCGGTTTTTCAGTGTCTTTTCTCTAACAGGCATGATGACAAATTTTGTTTATGTCAGCTGCAAGTAAGGTGGTTGGAGGTGACCCCCCAACCGACGAGCTAGCTCGGGA